CCGCCCCGCCGGGGTCCCTAGGAGCCCCCACCGTCTGCGCACTCACCCCGCCACCCCCTCCCCGGCCATCCCGCCCCCCAGGCTGCCCCAGGCCTCCCGGCCCTCCCCTCCCGCCCCGCCCCGCCCCGCTCGCACCTCCGTGGTCCCCATCCCACCCCCATCCCACCGGAGCGACTGGCCATCGCTTACTGCCGCCCCCGCCCACACGCGCTCCGGAGTCACTGTCTACATACAGTTTTATGTAGTTTTATTGGTTCTCACAGAGAGGGAGCGGGAGGAGAGTCAGGGACATCCCTCAGCCGCCTCCCGCACACCCACCGGGGGTGCGCCCGCAGCCCGGCCCCTGCCCTTCACCGGAATGAACCGGGGCCCTCCAGCCCGCAGCCGGGGCTCCATCCGCTGGGCCGCACGGCTTCGGCGAACCGGGACCCTCCAGCCCGCAGCCGGGGCTCCGTCCACTGGGCCGCACGGCTTCGGCGAAACCGGGGCCCTCCAGCCCGCAGCCGGGGCTCCATCCACTGGGCCGCACGGCTTCGGCGAACCGGGGCCCTCCAGCCCGCAGCCGAGGCTCCATCCGCTGAGCCGCACGGCTTCGGCGAACCGGGGCCCTCCAGCCCGCAGCCGGGGCTCCATCCACTGGGCCGCACGGCTTCGGCGAACCGGGGCCCTTCGGCCCGCAGCCGGGGCTCCATCCACTGGGCCGCACGGCTTCGGCGAACCGGGGCCCTTCAGCCCGCAGCCGGGGCTCCATCCACTGGGCCGCACGGCTTCGGCGAACCGGGGCCCTTCAGCCCGCAGCCGGGGCTCCATCCACTGGCCGCACGGCTTCGGCGAACCGGGGCCCTCCGGCCCGCAGCCGGGGCTCCATCCACTGGGCCGCACGGCTTCGGCGAACCGGGGCCCTCCAGCCCGCAGCCGGGGCTCCATCCACTGGGCCGCACGGCTTCCGCCGAGACCAGCTTCAATTCGGAGCCGCTCCCTCCGCGCCCAGGGCCCTGGCCGGAGGGCCGCGGGGTGCGGACAGCGGCCTCCGGGGCGGGAGGGGCTGGGAGCCGCCTTCCCGGCCGCCGGCCCCCGGCCGCCGCCCGCCCGGCCAGGGGCCTCGCCCACAGCGGCCCGGCCCGCCCGCCCCGCCCCTCCCCTCCCCGCGGGCCCCACCGCACCGTCGCCCTTTTAAGAAAGGAAATTCTCATCAACAAGCGCCGGTCCTGAGCGCGGAGCCCGCGGACGCCCGGGAAAGGAGGCGCCCGCCCCAGGCCCGCCCCGCGGGGTCCGCCCAGGGGGTCCGCCCCGCGGGGAGCCCCGCCCCGCCCCGCCGCGGGCTCCGGGCGGGGCCGGGCCGCGGGCAGCGGGCAGCGGCGGGGCGGGGCCTGGGGGGCCTGGAAACCGCCCGGGGAGCGTCTGCAAAGTGCGGTCCCGGCCGGGGGCGGAGGGACCCGGGGCAGAGGGGTCCCGCCCACCGCTCCCCTCCACCCCGCCCTGTCCGGGCGGATTCCGAGGCCTCGGGGCGGGAGGCCGGGGGCCCGCCTTTTCTCCTTCCGCCGGGCAGGGCGAGGCCGCGCCGGCCTGCGGGCGCTGGGAGCCGGCTCCCGGGAGTGGAGCTGCGCGGCCTGGGCCCGGGGGCAGGGTCTCCGGCCTCCTGTGACCTATCTCACTGCCTGGGAATGGGGTGGTGGTGGATCAGAACGGCGGAGGCCACCCCAGCGAGAGGACTAGACTGCCAGAGGAGGAGGCTGGGACTAGGTGGCTTTTAAAAATATATATATTTTTATTGATTTTATTTTTTTTTTACAGAGAGGAAGGGAGAGGGATAGAGAGACGCACCGATCAGCTGCCTCCTGCACACCCCCCACTGGAGATGTGCACGCAACCAAGATACATGCCCTTGACAGGAATCGAACCCGGGACCCTGGAGTCCGCAGGCCGACGCTCTATCCACTGAGCCACACGGGTCAGGGCTAGATGGCTCTTCTGGATGGGATTTTGTGCTTTCCTGGTTTCCGTTCCCCTCTTCTTTTGGTCGAGCATAGAACTGGGGTTGACTTAGCATCCACCGGGCTGTATGTTACTAGGAAGTGCCAGTTTGGAGCCTGCCCCCAACGGGGACTGTCAGGGTACTCTTTCCAGTGCTCAGTAAATACTTTAAAAAGTCCCGTTGCCAGGGGCAGAGAGGGTGGGGTGGGAACCTGGTGGAGGGGAGCAACGGAGGGGGGAAAAGTAAAAAAGAGGAACATTTGTAATGATCTGAACAATAAAGATTTATTAAAAAATAAAAATAATAAAAATAAAAAAAATAAAACGTCCCGTTGCCAGCACTGTGTTCGAGTGCTTTCCTTCCATCGCAAGGTCGATGTCCCATTTTACAGATGAGGCCACTGAGACCTACAAGGGAATCACTTGTCCGAGCTAGAAAGCAGCAGGTCCCTGTGGAACCGGGGCTGGCCTGCCCCAATCCCCCCTCCGTCTTCTGCCCCCACGTCCCCCACACCCCTGTCCCACAGGCCCGCCTCCCCATTTATTCCCCCCGCCTCACGGTCCGGGGCAGTTCATCCAGAGGGCTGCCCCTTCTGCTCCGCCTCAGGAAGCCCGTACAGGAAGTGGCGGTGGGAGCGGTGAGCCAGCCGGGAGGCCCCGTGGGCAATGACGCAGGCCCAGGCCTGGGGAAGGGTGACCATGAGAACCAGACCCCATCCCCATCCCCATCCCCATCCCCACCCCCATCCCCATCCCCATCCCCATCCCCATCCCCATCCCCACCCCCATCCCCACCCCCATCCCCACCCATCCCCCACCCCCACCCCCATCCCCCATCCCCCCATCCCCATCCCCACCCCCACCCCCATCCCCATCCCCATCCCAGATCCCATCCCTTCCCCATCCCAAATCCCATCCCCACCCCCATCCCCACCCCCTTCCCCATCCCCATCCCCCATCCCCACCCCCATCCCCCCATCCCCCCATCCCCATCCCCAGGCGCCCGCCCGGCCCTCCAGCACCAGGTAGGCGATGAGGCCCAGGTAGGCGGCGCCCAGCGGGGCCACGAGGCCGAAGTAGGCGGGGTGAGGCAGGCCGGGCAGGTAGCTGACCACGAAGTAGAGGTTGATGGCACAGATGAGCGTCATGATGGCGGACGTGATGGCCTTGCTGAGCCTGCGGGCGGACGGACGGACGGACGGACGGAGGGAAGTGAGGACGGCTGCCTCCCGCCCTCCTCTCCGGGCCCAGGGCCCGCTGAGCGGGTGGGAGAGCGGGAGCCGCAGAGCCAGGCCCTCCGGGCGGGCGGCGGGTCTGGAGCAGACACCCCACCACCCTCCACTCCTGCCGGGGCCTCCTCCCGCTCCGCCTGCTGGAGCGGAGCCTGAGGGGAAGGGGAAGAGCTGGTCAGAAACGTGGCGGCCTGGCCGCATCTGCTGCAGAATCCCCGCCTCCGACCTCCTCTGGATGGCGGCCGGCGGCCGCGGATGGGCACACTCACCAGCTGTTGGCAAACTCCTGCATGAGGGCGGGCATGCTGGTGAAGGTGAGGATGGGCAGCACCGCGAAGGGGAGCTGGGGAGGACCGGGAGGGGCTGAGGGACCCCGTCCTCAGGCCACAGCGGGGGGGGGGGGGGGGAGGGAGAGAGGGGAGGGGAGGGGAGGGGGCTGAGGGACCCCGTCCTCAGACCACAGCCCGGGGGGAGGGAGGGGAGGGGAGGGGAGGGACCCCGTCCTCAGACCACAGCCCGGAGGGGGGGGGGAGGGGAGGGGGGGACCCCGTCCTCAGACCACAGCCGGGGGGTGGGAGGGGAGGGACCCCGTCCTCAGACCACAGCCGGGGGAGGACGGGGAGGGGGCTGAGGGACCCCGTCCTCAGACCACAGCCGGGGGGGGGGGGGGGGGAGGGGGCTGAGGGACCCCGTCCTCAGACCACAGCCCGGGGGGGGGGGGGGGAGGGGAGGGGAGGGGAGGGGGGCTGAGGGACCCCGTCCTCAGACCACAGCCGGGGGGGGGGGGGAGGGGGCTGAGGGACCCCGTCCTCAGACCACAGCCCGGGGGGAGGGAGGGGAGGGGAGGGACCCCGTCCTCAGACCACAGCCCGGGCGGGGGGAGGGGAGGGGAGGGACCCCGTCCTCAGACCACAGCCCGGGGGGGAGGGAGGGGAGGGGAGGGGGCTGAGGGACCTGCCCCCAGACCACAGCCGGGGGGGGGGGGGGGGCAGGGTGCCTCTCGCCCTCTGCCTGGGGTGTGCGGGGGAGCCGGGGAGCGTTCAACCGCTGTTCTCCGCCTCCGTGCCCTCCGGGTCTGTGGGCTCCCCAGCGGGGGACCAGGGGACATGGGGGCCGCGGGCCCAGGCTGCGGAGGTGGAAACCCCAGTGCGGCCTTTGGCCTGAGCTGCGGGCCTCGGTTCTCCCCGCTGCCCAGTGGGGATGCGGTGGTGCCCGGGGCGGGCTGTGGGCGTGGGAGACGGTTTGGCAAGGGGTGGTCTGGGCCCGGAGGGGGCACACTGGCACAGGGGGGGGATGGGGCGGGGAGCAGGGGGTGGGATGGGCCCGGAGGGGGCACACTGGCACAGGGGGGGATGGGGAGGCGGCAGGGGGGGGGATGGGCCCGGAGGGGGCACACTGGCACAGGGGGGGGGGGATGGGGCGGGGAGGCGGGGCCTCACCAGCAGGCTCTGCAGCACGTTGAGCAGGTCGTTGAGGCCGGACAGGTCCCTCCGGTCCCGGAAGGCGGCCACCAGCACGGCGGGCAGGACGGCGCAGGAGCGGGTGAGCAGGACGCGGGCGAAGCGGGACCAGCGCAGCCGCAGGAAGCCCTGGGGGGGGGGGGTTCCGGGGGAGGACCGTCTCCCCGCCTCCCTCCGGCGGGGACCCCCTCCGGCGGGGACCCCCTCCCGCCTCCCTCCGGCGGGGACCCCTCCCGCCTCCCTCTCAGGGGGACCCCCTCCGGCGGGGACCCCTCCCACCTCCCTCTCAGGGGGGACCCCTCCCCGCCTCCCTCTCAGGGGGACCCCCTCCCCTCCTCCCTCCGGCGGGGACCCCTCCCCTCCTCCCTCCGGCGGGGACCCCCTCCCGCCTCCCTCTCAGGGGGGACCCCTCCCGCCTCCCTCTCAGGGGGACCCCCCTCCGGCGGGGACCCTCTGGCTGGCGTCCTGAGGGCAGCTGTGCAGCCCGCAGGGGCCGGGGCAGCTGGGCTCTCAGCGGACTGCCCGGGGGGAGGCCTCCCCTGAGGCCGGCCTCCCTGGATCTGTTCTGCAGGTTCTAGTCTGGGACGGGGCCTTAGCAGCTGCTCTCAGACCGACTGCCCGTGGGCTCAGACAGTAAAGCAGCAGCAGACTGTGCCCGGACAGCGGGGAGGGGAGGGAGGGAGGGGAGGGAGGGAGGGGGAGGCAGAGATCCACCGGGGACACGAGCATAACCCACGGACGCAGAACCCTGGGCAGGGCGGGCATGTTGGGAGTGAGATATGTACACATAAATGCCTCAATAAAAAATGGGAAATAAATAAGTAATTGTTGACGTGTTAAAAAAGAAGGTGCGCACTGCCTAAGGACCCGCGCCCACCTCCATCACGAACTGTCCCGCGTAGGTGCCGGTCATGGTGGAGCTCTGCCCCGCCGCCAGGAGGCCCACCGCCCAGATGTACAGCGCCGCGGGCCCGAACAGGCAGCCCAGGATCACGCCCTGTGCGGGGCGTGGTCAGGAGCCAGGCCCCGCCCTCCCCTCTGGGAGCCCCGCCCCTCTCATAGGCCCGCCCCCGGTGGGCGTGGCGCCGCGGGCCCGAACAGGCAGCCCAGGATCACGCCCTGTGCGGGGCGTGGTCAGGAGCCAGGCCCCGCCCCAGGAGGCCCCGCCCCTCTCACAGGCCCCGCCCCTCTCACAGGCCCCGCCCCAGTGGGCGTGGTGCCACTGGCCCGAACAGGCAGCCCAGGATCACGCCCTGGGGCGGGGCGTGGTCAGGAGCCAGGCCCCGCCCCGGGAGGCCCCGCCCTCCCCTCTGGGAGCCCCGCCCCTCTCATAGGCCCGCCCCCGGTGGGCGTGGCGCCGTGGGCCCGAACAGGCAGCCCAGGATCACGCCCTGTGCGGGGCGTGGTCAGGAGCCAGGCCCCGCCCCGGGAGGCCTCGCCCTCTGGGAGCCCCGCCCCGAGAGGCCCCGCCCCTCTGGGAGCCCCGCCCCTCTTAAGGCCCCGCCCCCGCTGGGCGTGGCGCCGCGGGCCCGCCCACCGCGCACTCACCCCCTGGTAGATGTCCACGGCCACTGTGTGGTTGTCCCTGGGGAAGATGCCGGCGTAGGCCTGGAGGCTGCTGTTGGCGCAGACGCTGAACTGCGGGCACAGGCGGAGGGGGAGAGGGGAGCCCACCTCAGGCTCAGGAACCCGGACCTCAGGCCTGGGCCAGGGGCTGGCCAGGGGGGGCCTCTAGCTGAGTCTGGCCAGACAGGTTTTGTTTGGCTGACAAATTATTTCTTTCTATCTTTCTTTTCTTTTCTTTTCTTTTTTCTTTTTTCTTTTCTTTTTTCTTTCCTTTCCTTTTCTTTCTTTCTTCCCTTCCTTCCTTCCTTCCTTCCTTCCTTCCTTCTTCCTTCCTTCCTTCCTTCCTTCCTTTCTTCCTTCCTTCCTTCCTTCTTTCCTTCCTTCATTCTTTCTTTCATTAAACTTTTTTTTTTTTTTAAAGCAGGCAAGGATTTATTAAAAAAAAAAAAAAAAAAAAAAAAACTGGCCAGGACAGCCACGGGCGCACCACATGCAGGTGGAGTCCACATGACCGCAGTGTTCCAGGTGTAGGCAGTCTTTTTTAAATTATTTATTTATTTATTTATTTTAAATAAGTCTTTATTGTTCATATTATAAAAGTTCCTCATTTTTTCCCCTCCGTTGCTCCCCTCCACCAGGTTCCCACCCCACCCTCTGCCATTTCCCCACTCTCCCACTGCCCTCATCCATAGGTGCACAGTTTATGTTCAGTCTCTTCCCGCACCCCCCACTCCCCTTTTCCCCCGAGAATTGTCAGTCTACTCCCCTTCCATACCTCTGATTCTATTATATTCAACAGTTAATATTGTTCATCAGGTTTTTTAATTCCCTTGGTTTTTAGATTCACTTGTTGATAGTTACATATTTGTTGTTCCAAACTTTTAAAAAAAATATGTTTTATTGATTTTTTTACAGAGAGGAAGAGAGAGAGATAGACAGGTAGAAACATCGATGAGAGAGAAACATCGATCAGCTGCCTCTTGCACACCCCCCACTGGGGATGTGCCTGCAACCAAGGTACATGCCCTTCACCGAAATTGAACCTGGGACCCTTGAGTCCACAGGCGGATGCTCTATCCACTGAGCCACACCGGTCCTGGCAAGTTATTTCTTTCTTCCTGTGAATTTACTGCCAACATTTAACATGGAGAACTCACATGAGACGTGGGGTGCCAGGGTGGGGTGGGTTTGGGAGAGCTGGCATTGCCCAAGGCAGCTGGCAGTGACTCAGCTTGGCCACAGCTCTCTCTCCCTCACACGGGCCACTGCTCCCAGCCCCGTGACTGGCCCGGGCTTGAAGACAAGGGTTTGCCTTCCTCTGTACACCTCCTCTCCTCGTGGGGAGGAGCATCATGAGCCCGGGGAGGGGTGTCACCACCGAAGGTCACACAGCAAGGCCACGGTGCTCAGCATTCAGGAAGCACCCAACGCGGACCTCATGACAGGGAGTCAGCACAGCTCACAGGTCCAGGAGCTCACAGACCCAGGAGCTCACAGACCCAGGAGAGTCAGCCAAAAGGCCACCTCCTCCCCAGAGTCCTCTCCTGACCACCAGGCTAATGCTGCCCTCCCTAACCACCTCCCCAGGGATGTGTCATTGCTTCCTTCATTTCCTGACCATGCTCTCCCATCTGGTTTGTTGATTGGTTTCCTGCCTGCCACTCACCACCCTCCACAGTTAAGCTGCGAGAGGGCAGGGTCTTCCTGTCACTGGTCCCCGTATCCCCAGGACCTAGGGCACTGCCCGGCACATAACAGATGCTTGGTACGTGTGTGCTGAGCCGATGCCAGTCTGTCTGCTAACAGACTCTGAGGAGAGAGGGCTTGGAGGAGAGGATGAGTGCTGTGTGTTCCCGCTCTGCACTCATGGCAGACACCCTCTCCTCCCAGCCACCTCCCTGCAGCGTGCCGGGCGAATCCACCCCAGCTTTCCGGGTGCCGCTGGGTGCTGGGTCCCCCAAGACTCAGCCCCTCCCTCCCAGGCACTTCCCCTGGGTGTCTGTGCCTTGCAGCCCTTGTATGGCCTTGGCCCTCAAGAGTCTGCCTGTTTCTGCCGGGATCGGTTTGGCTCAGTGGATAGAGCGTCAGCCTGCGGACTGAAGGGTCCTGGGTTCGATTCCGGTCGGGGGCATGTACCTTGGTTGCGGGCACATCCCCAGTAGGGGGTGTGCAGGAGGCAGCTGGTCGGTGTTTCTCTCTCATCGACGTTTCTGACTCTCTGTCCCTCTCAATTCCTCTCTGTGTAAAATCAATAAAATATATTAAAAAAAAAAAAAAAAAAAGAGTCTGCCTGTTTCGGCTGGCATGGCTCAGCGGTTGAACGTCAGCATATGAACTTGTAGGTCACAGTTTAATTCCTGGTCAGGCACAGGCCCGGGTTTGTGGGCGCAATCTCCAGTGTGGGACATGCAGGAGGCAGCCGATCAGTGATTCTCTCTCATCATTGATGTTTCTATCTCACTCCCTCTCCCTTCCTCTCTGAAATCAGTAAAAATTATACTAAAAAAAAAAAGTCTGGTCCTAGCTGGTTTGGCTTAGTGGACAGAGCATCAGCCTGGGCCAGTCAAGGGCATGTACCTCGGTTTCAGGCTCCTCCCCGGCGCATGCAGGAGGCAACCAACCAATGTGTTCCTCTCACATCCATATTCCCCTGCGTCTTTCCCTCTTCCACTCTCTCTGGGGATCAATAGAAAAATTTCCTTAGGTGAGTTGTTTTGTGTGTGTGTGTGTGTGTTTTTTTATTGTAAGTCTGCCTGTGGGGGGCTGTGTCTCTCCAGTGGGTTCGGAATAGGGGTCCCAGCTAGAGGCCAGGATCACAGACTCTCTTTGCTACTAATGCCTGGAGTCTAGAGCAGAGACTCAAAGGGCTTAGCTCGTGGTCTGAGGCTTCCAGGTGTGGTGGGGGGGAGGTGTGGTGGGTGGGAGCTGTGGTGGGTGGGGAGGTGCGGTGGGCGGGAGGTGTGATGGGTGTGTAGCTGTGGTGAATGGGAGGTGTGGTAAGTGGGAGGTGTGGATGGGTAGCTGTGGTGGATGGGAGGTGTGGTAAGTGGGAGGTGTGGATGGGTAGCTGTGGTGTGTGGGAGGTGCGGTGGGTGGGTAGCTGTGGTGGATGGGTAGCTGTGGTATGTGGGAGCTGTGGTGGGTGGGTAGCTGTGGTGGGTGGAGAGCTGTGGTGTGTGGGAGGTATGGTGGGTGAGTAGCTGTGGTGGGCGGGAAGGTGTGGTGGGTGGGAGGTGCGGTGGGCGGGGAGGTGCGGTGGGCGGGGAGGTGCGGTGGGCGGGGAGGTGCGGTGGGCGGGGAGCTGTGGTGGGCGGGGAGGTGCGGTGGGCGGGGAGCTGTGGTGGGCGGGGAGGTGCGGTGGGCGGGGAGGTGCGGTGGGCGGGGAGGTGCGGTGGGCGGGGAGGTGCGGTGGGCGGGGAGCCGTGAGGTGCGGGCGCTGTGTGGCTCACCGCATCCTCGTTGGTCCGCCGGTAGAAGGCCTGCCCGAACACAGCCACAACGAAGAGGTTGATGAAGAAGGAGACAGACAGGGCGATGGTGGCCTCGATCAGGAAGTACCTGTTGGCTTCTCGGATGTCAGCCCGTCGGCTCCGGTCTATCTCTCGAGACTGTAAAGGTCGAAGGGCAGGGAACAGCCAAGGCCTCTCAGTGCCACCAGCACCTCCCCTCGCTCCCCTCCGTGTTCTCCTCAAGCCCTGGTTCTTTCTGAAGCCCCTCCATGGACGTCCGGGAAGGGCCCTGGTCCGAGGCCCCCTTCCTACGCGCCTGGTCTATTTCTCCCAGGCCTTCGCCCTCGCCATCCACTCCCCACGCTGAGAGTGCCTTCTCCCCGATGGCCCCCATCCTTCCTGTCTCCAAGGTCAGTCCTTACAAAGGCCTTTCCCCACCCCCTCTCCTGCAGCGGCTCCGGCCTGGCCTCAGTCGTTCTCTGTCCCCTGCCCTGCTCCGTGTCCTTCAGGGCGCCCTGCACAGCCCAGAGCTCTCTCCAGCCCGTCCCCGCGCTCGTGTGTCTCTCCCTCTAGAACGCAGCTCTGGGAAGGCAGACGGCTGGTCTGTCTTGTTGCCATGGGCCTCAGGAGCCCCAGGCGTGGAGGCCGGGCCGTGTGAGGGCCAGGGCCCCGGCCCCTCTCCCCGCCCGCCCCGGCTCACCTTGACCAGGGCCGAGTGCAGGTAGATGTTGTGGGGCATGATGATGGCGCCGACGACGCCCACGGCCTGCAGCAGCTCGGGCTGGCCGCAGCCAGGACAGGACGGCAGGAGCAGGCCGCGGAGGAGCGGCCCCTGGGCTGGACGGGCCACCACGTACTGCGGGAGGAGCCGGTCAGGCACAGCCGCCTCCCCTCCCCCCTGACCCGGCCCCTCGGGCTCCGGGGGGGCAGAGAGAGGGGTGGCCTTCGTGGGGGCGCTGCAGGCCCGGCTTCCCACCTCATAGCCAAACGTCAAGGCCATGATGGTGATGAGGAACCCGAAAAAGGCTTCCAGCTTCCGCAGCCCTGGGGAGAGAGCAAAGGGGCGGAACAATAAAAACAACAAAAAGCCGAAAGGTAAGCAGCTATGAACGGGGAGGTCCTGAGCGCTCGGTCGCGCTGCGCGTATGTTGCCTCGGTGCACCCTCCCCGCAGCCCGTGCCGTCTGAGCTGCTGTTTCCCCCGTTCCCGTTCCCGAGGACACAGCAGCCCGGGGCTCGCCCAAGGCCACGCGGAGGCGCGGAGCCCTTCCTCCCCCAGAACCGGCCGCCAGCGGCCTCACCGGCACCGCCCGGCGGCCTCACCGGCACCGCCCGGTGGCCTCACCGGCACCGCCCGGCGGCCTCACCGGCACCTGCCCGGCGGCCTCGCCGGCACCTGCCCGGCGGCCTCGCCGGCACCTGCCCGGCGGCCTCGCCGGCACCGCCCGGCGGCCTCGCCGGCACCTGCCCAGCGGCCTCGCCGGCACCTGCCCAGCGGCCTCACCGGCACCGCCCGGCGGCCTCCCCGGCACCTGCCCGGCCCGCCGGCAGGAGGAGGGCGCACCCACCGTAGTTATCCAGGAAGAGGAAGAGGAAGGTGTCCACGATGGTGATGAGGACGCCGCCCCAGAGCGGGATCCTGAAAGCAGAGGGCCCGGCTCAGCCCCCTTGGTCCCGGGTCCCAGACTCCCACCCTCAGGGCTGGAGAGGACACTTCTCTCCGGGGAGCAGGGACCCCCGTGGCCGGGACAGCCGCAGGGGAGGGGCGCGGGGGTGTGCGGGGGTGTGAGGGGGTGGACAGCCGCAGGGGAGGGGCGCGGGGGTGTGCGGGGGTGTGAGGGGGGTGGACAGCCGCAGGAGAAGGGCGCGGGGGTGTGCGGGAGTGTGAGGGGGTGTGCGGGGGTGGACAGCCGCAGGAAAGGGGCGCGGGGGTGTGCGGGAGTGTGAGGGGGTGTGAGGGGGTGGACAGCCGCAGGAGAAGGGCGCGGGGGTGTGCGGGAGTGTGCGGGGGTGTGCGGGGGTGTGCGGGGGTGGACAGCCGCAGGGGAGGGGCGCGGGGGTGTGCGGGGGTGTGAGGGGGGGTGCGGGGGTGGACAGCCGCAGGGGAGGGGCGCGGGGGTGTGCGGGGGGGGACAGCCGCAGGGGAGGGGCCTCGGGGGTGTGCGGGAGTGTGAGGGGGGGTGCGGGGGTGGACAGCCGCAGGGAGGGGCGCGGGGGTGTGCGGGGGTGGACAGCCGCAGGGGAGGGGCGTGGGGGTGGACAGCGCAGGGAGGGCCGCGGGGTGTGCGGGAGGTGGAAGAGGGCACAGGATGGAGAGGAAGGGCAGAGCCTGCAAGGCCGCTGACACTGTGACCTCAGGCTCAGTCCCGGCACCTCTGGGTCTCTGTTCCCCACGCGGCAGGTTGGGCAGGCGCCTGCGTCAGGGCCGCAGAGGGAGTGGGCGCAGGAGGAAAGGCCCGAGGAAGGAGTGGCGGCTGAGCCGGGCCAGTACCGTCCGGCGGAGAGCAGGCTGAAGGCGATGGCCGTGCCGATGACCTCCTGCATGTCCGAGCCCACGATGGCCAGCTCGATGGTCAGCCAGAGGAGGGTGCGGGGCACCTGGGGAGGGGGAACAGGCGTCTGTCTCAGTCCTACACGCACCTTCCCACACTCAGCCCGTCCTGCCGGGCCAGAGGCCTCCTAACTCCACCTGCCAGCTGGCCTGTCCGCTGGCTGCCCGCTGGCTTTGCCAGGAAACACTCATGGGGGTGAAAAGGCAGGGAGAGATCGGTTCCCTGCTTCCGGCGGTGTTTCTGGCAGCGAAAGCAGGGCAGCCTGGGCGCCCGCAGCACCGGTGGCTGCCCTGGCAATGCTCCCTGAAGCTCGGCAGCGAGGGATGGCTCCTGGGCTCCGCCCAGCAGGTTTCTGACCTCTGGGTGACAGCCTCCTGCCACTGCGGCCCCAGCTCTTCCAGCACGTGTGTGGCTACATCCCTGCATTCAGCGCCTTTGCGATGCCCTAACCGGTGTGGCTCAGTGGATAGAGCATCGGCCTGCAGACTGAAGGGTCCCAGGTTCGACTCCGGTCAAGGGCATGTACCTTGGTTTCAGGCACATCCCCAGTGGGGGGTGTGCAGGAGGCAGCTGATGGATGTTTCTCTCTCATCGATGTTTCTAACTCTATCCCTCTCTCTTCCTGTCTGTAAAAAAATCAATAAAATATGTATGTATATACTACAATACCTTGGCAATAGCTAACACTGAACGTGTTTTCCTGCCCGGACACTGACAATAGCCAGGGCCCTGCGTCCATCCCAGCCAATGGCCACACTGATGCCTCGCTACCTTTTTCCTTCAGCAAGTCCCTTCTCGAGGCCTCTGTTTCCCCTTCTATAAAAGGGACAGGGTCTGTCCAGAGTCCCTTTCAGCCCGTGTGCTGCCAGTGGGCCTCCGTGTCCCGTCTGTCAAAGGGACGCTGGGAAGCAGGCATGTGTGTGGTCGTGGACCTGTACGCGGCTGCTTCGGGTTCGGGCCTGCGGGAGTTTCCCGTCCGGGCCCCACAGGCTCACCTTCGGGTAGTAGAGGTGGCAGATCTCACCCAGATCCTTGCCCGTCACCACACCCAGCCGGGCAGCAAGCCTCTGGCAGAGCAGGCCCAGCACCGTGGCCCACAGCAGCACCCAGAGCAGCTGTGAGAGGGCAGGGGGCGGCCGTCAGCCGTCAGAATTGGTGGCACCCTCTGACCCAGGACACTCCCTGGGGGCGAGGAGGGGACACAGAGAAAGACCATCCTCTCCCCTCCTCCCCACACACCCCACACTCGGCGGGGATGCCCTGGGGACCGGTTCCGGCTTCATTGGAACGAGCCTCTCCCGGGAGCAGCGGCCCTGCAGGCCGCTCTGGGGAGATGTGGAAGCTGGGTGTCCACTCCCTTAAGGGGTCACCCCCGCCCCTCCCCACGCGCCCTCCCCACGCCCGCTCCCCACGCCCCCTCCCCACACGCCCCTCCCCACGCGCCCTCCCCACGCCCCCTCCCCACGCCCCCTCCCCACGCCCCCTCCCCACGCCCCCTCCACACGCGCCCCTCCACACGCGCCCTCCACACGCCCCCTCCCTACGCCCCCTCCCCACGCCCCCTCCCCACGCCCCCTCCCCACGCGCCCCTCCCCACGCTCCCTCCCCACGCCCCCTCCCCACGCCCCCTCCCCACGCGCCCTCCCCACGCGCCCTCCCCACGCGCCCCTCCCCACGCCCCCTCCCCACACCCCCTCCCCACGCGCCCCTCCCCACGCGCCCCTCCACACGCGCCCCTCCACACGCGCCGCCCCCCACGTGCCCCTCCCACATGCCCCTCCCACGTACCCCTCCCCACATGCCCCCCTCCCCACGTGCCCCTCCCACGTGCCCCTCCCCACGCGCCCCCCTCCCCACGCCCCCTCCTCACGTGCGCCCCTCCCCACGCGCCCCTCCCCACAGTGCCCCTCCCCACGCGCCCCTCCCCACGTGCCCCTCCCACCTGCCCCTCCCCACGCGCGCCCCTCCCCACGCGCCCCCCTCCCCACGCCCCCTCCTCACGTGCGCCCCTCCCCACGCGCCCCTCCCCACAGTGCCCCTCTCCACGCGCCCCTCCCCACGCCCCCTCCCTACACGCCCCTCCCCACGCGCCCCTCCCCACGTGACCCCGCTCCAGCACTTTGAATCCAGCCAGGGCGCCGGCCTGCAGGTCCGACTCGATGTTCCCCGGGTCCAGGAACGCGATGCTCATGAGGAAGCCAGGCCCCGTGAAGGCCCACAGCTTCCGCAGGCTGAACGCGCCCTGCGGGGGGAAACGGGGTGAGGACGCCTGGCAGTCACTGGCCTCCGCCCCCTGAGGAATCCCAAGCCGCTCATCAGCCCAGCTGGGCAGCCCGCCCTCGGCCCCATTCCTGAGCCCACTCCCCCCCATATTGGAGTACGTGGGGTGGGAGGAACTGGCAGGCTTTGCTAACAGCCCGTCGGCCGCGATGGGTCCAGCACATGCAGCGGCCTGCCTGCACCGGACCTGCAGGCCCTGACCCTGCAGATCCTGGAGCCCCAATGGGGGGCTTTCCTGGGGTCAGGCCTCCCTGGTCAGTTCCTCCCTCCAGCCCCCTGTCAGACCATAGGTCCTCCTCCCCAGAATCCACTGAACCAAGACTCCCCACACCCCCATTTCAGGGCTTGGTCTGGCAGCCTGGGCACTGCTAAAGGTTCTGGAACTGCAGGGGACAGCATCCAGATGCCAGCCCACCATCTCCTCCTCTGCTGCTCCCAATCGCTTGTCTAGGTCCTGTCCTTTGACAACAAGCCCTCGAGGCTCCAACCTGAATCCACCCCAAGTCCCTTTGCCTTCCTAGGAAAGCTGGGGTTCATCCAGGAAGCTGTGGGTAATTTTTAGACAAACAGTGAGCTAAGTGCTGGAGACAGCAGCAGGAAGGGGCAGTGACACGGCCCAGCACCCTGGCTCAGAGCTGGAAGGGACCTAAGCGCCATGGTCTTCAGGGGACTCCCTCACCCAGCCCGTGAGACACGCCCCCACCCCATATTGTCCTGTCCGTCCTGAGAGACCCCAGGAAGTTCCCAGCATTCCCACCGGCTTTGTGTCTGGGATGGAAATCTTCTCGCTCAGGTAGGTCTCCCCGGGAGGTGCGTGCTGTGGCCCCGGGCTGGGCGGGCTGGAGATGGAGCCATAGCTGGGGCTGCTTAGCCTTCGGGGACCTCTGTCACCTGCAAAGGGCCCCGTGGGGCGTGGTGAGTGACCTGCCAAAGCCACGTGTCCTCCTCCCCTGCTCCTCCTGGCCAAGCGCAGAGGCCCTGACCTCCATGTCTGGTCTGTCGCCTTCACCCCTTGACCAAATGTTCCATACAGTGTCAGAAGTGGAGCCTTTAGCCGAAACAGGCTTGGCTCAGTGGATAGAGCATCGGTCTGCAGACTGAAAGGTCCCAGGTCCCAGGTTCGATTCCGGTCAAGGGCATGTACATTGGTTGCGGGCACATCCCCGGTAGGGGGTGTGCAAGAGGCAGCTGGTCGATGTTTCTCTCTCATCGATGTTTCTTTTCTTTTCTTTTCTTTTCTTTTTTTTAATATATTTTATTGATTTTTTACAGAGAGGAAGAGAGAGGGATGGAGACTTAGGAACATCGATGAGAGGAAATCATCAATTAGCTGCCTCTCGCACACCCCCTGCTGGGGATGTGCCCACAACCAAGGTACATGCCCTTGACCTGAATCGAACCCAGGACCTTTCAGTCCGCAGGCTGACGCTCTATCCACTGAGCCAAACCGGTCCTGGCTGTCATCGATGTTTCTAACTCTCTATCCCTCTCTCTTCCTCTCTGTAAAAAATCAATAAAATTGATATTTAAAAAAGAAGAAGAAGAAGAAGTGGAGCCTTCAGCATCACTCTTTTTCCATGGGAGTGCAGAGACCCCCAAACCCAGATCCCTCCGCCGCAGAGGATGCGGAGCGGGACACGGGGCTCTGAGGAGGGCTGACAGACACTCACACGGACACGTGTGCCCCTCGGCCTCCCCCCGCCTCCTCCAGCAGCCGGAGAAGTTCCAGGGGCTCCGAGCACACGGAGATCAGACCGAGGAGACGCAGAGAACCCAACCCCAGGCTCGCGTCCAGAATTCCGGTCCAGACCAGGACTCCCGCGGGGACCAGGGCTTCCTTTGCCTCCTGACTCTCCCCACCCCCGGCCCCGGAGGGGGACACTCACTCGTCATGAGGACGGCAGGTCAGGCACTCGCTGCGTGTGCGTGGCGTGCTGGCCAGCTCCTCGGCCCACGCTCCCTCTCCGGGTGCCAGTGCATGTGCCGGCGTGAGCCCACACCCTCTCGCCCATCCGCAGTGAGCCGGGGTGTTGTGAAACACTTCCCAAGGCAGAAGTGGCCAGCTCTGGCGGAAAGGTCTGCCTGGACTTCTGTTCCCCTTCTGGCCCGAGCCCCACAAACATGAGGCTTCCTTCCAGGCACCCCATGTTCTGTGTTGCCCAAGTTAGCTCTGATTTTTAAAAAAATATATATCTTATTGATTTTTTACAGAGAGGTACATGCCCTTGACTGGAATCGAACCTGGGACCCTTCAGTCCACAGGTCGACGCTCTGTCACTGAGCCAAACCGGTTTTGGCAAGTTAACTCTGATGTGAAGATGTTTTCTGCCACATGGGCATTCATGTCCAGACCACTTGGCTTCCCCCCCCACCAGCCTCCTACATAAGCATCCAGCTCTTCTTCCCTTCAGTCTGGAGTCCCTTGGCCACCGGTTGGGTTAATGGGAGGGAGGGAGTCCTGACGGCGACCCCGGCTTCATTTCCCAGGAGTGCCTCCGAGGAAAGCACCTTCCGGACACTGCCTCCAGGACATGCACTCAGTGCTCTGGCCAAGGAGCTCCTCCGAGGACAGGGTCACTGGTCCTGGTGCTGGTCTGCCACTAGTTCACGTTGAGATGGTCACCGGAGTATATCTTTCCTCTGAGCTTGGTACTTCTATTAAATAAAGATTCAAACTGCCCAAGAGGTGAACATGTAGATGCCCCTGGAGGCCAGGCTGGTAAGATAAACTATCAGACAGGTCGGGAGTAAGAAAAACAGCACCAGCTCAGCGTTCAATGATGCTGAGCCTCCGTGTCAGGGGACAGTAGGGAATAGTGGCGACTGTAGCAAAACAGAGGTCAGATCTCTCTCTGAGGAGGGCAGTGTCTATGGCATTCCAACCAATTGCCATGTGGGCCGATTGTCACGATGCCTTCTGATTTGTCAAGGATGCTAGGAATTTTGTGCAAAATTGGCGGTTTGAATACTAGACCCCAAAACATTGAAAATATTGTATAATCTAAACAAAACGTCCCTACTGGCTGGATTCTACCCGAGAGGTATTATTCTGTAACCTCTGGATAAACGGTGGGCAGGACTCCTCCAGCTCCCAGTCTCTTCCCCTGGGCAGCTTCCGAGCTCCCACTTCCCTCCCTCAAGTTCTTCTCCCTCCCATACCCCTCACGCCTTCTATCTTGTGGCCCTCTTTTTCTGTCAAGAAGATTCAAAACTGGGATTGTTATGGAGTATCCAGCTCCAAAGTCTGAGATCTCAAGACCCAGAGAGAATCAAGTCAGGTTCTCAGGGCCAGACCTGACCTGGGACATGACGTGTCCCCATGCTGAGTCAAAAACTTTACCAAAGCTGGGAAACTCAGAGTCGGAGGAGGCAGTCAATACCCTGACTTCTAGTTGATGGAGAAGGCTGGAGGGACTGGAAAGTGGGGGTGGGGGAGGGGAGGACGAATGACGAGTCAGATAGGAGAGAGAGCAGCATCGTGATTTGTGCAATCCTATTGCTCAAGCTCCTGTCACTGTCCCTGACCACTAGGTTTGTGCACATTTCCCAATCACTGCCTTGGGCTCATGCGGGCATGCATGGCTGGGGCTGGGGCTGGTGTACTAAGCTGTGAGGGTTAATTTATGGACCAGGATGTGACTGGATAGGTAGTGTGCTTGTGAGGGTGTTTAGGAGGAGATCAACGCTGAACTGGTAGGTTGAGTGAAGTAGACTTCCATTGCCGTTGTGGATGCTCCTCATCTGGACAACTGAGGACCCAAACAGAACAAAAGGCTGAGTAAGGGAGACCCTCTCTCCCTGCCTGCCTGCCTTTGAATTGGGGTTGTTTTTCTCTTACCTTCAGGCTTAGTGCCGACTGGAACTCACACCATGGGACTTACCTTTTCTTCTCAGGCCTTCCAATGGGAATTGTGTATGCCATTGGCTCTCCTGGGTCTCTAGCTTTCCCAGATCAGTGGGCTTCTCGGCCTCCATACTCATGTGAGCCAATTCCCCATGTATGTAGGTATCTACCTCTCTGTCACTTTCTTTTAAAATATATATTTTATTGATTTTGTACAGAGAGAAAGGGAGAGAAATAGAGAGTTAGAAACATCGATGAGAGAGAGTCATCAATCAGCTGCCTCTTGCACACCCCCTACTGGGGATGTGCCCGCAACCAAGGTACATGCCCTTGACCAGAATCGAACTCGGGACCCTTCAGTCCCCAAGCCGACGCTCTATCCATTGAGCCAAACCGGTTTCGGCTCTGTCACTTTCTATCTACTGGTTCTGCTTCTCTGAAGAACCATGACTAAGACAGATGTCTTCTTTGCATCTTTTTGGGGCCTTACTTACAGTCAGGAACTCAGCAAGTATAATTGATTAGCAACTGATCAATTCTTTGTATGGCCTTTAACTTAACCGTTAGAGTGTAATGGTTGGGAGCAGAGGTTCTGACCGAGTAGCAGAGGGTGGGAGCTACATGAGCTAGAGGATTAGAGACCTGCCTCAGTCCCTTTGCACTTGGAGCCGTTGCTGGACACTGAACCCTGCATGCATGAAGTGAAATTTCATGAAGCCCAATTCACTCAAAGTGAAGCATAAACCTAAATGTAAATATAAAATTTTTAGGAAAAAAAAAAAAAGTAGGAGAAAATCTTTAGAATCCAAGACAAAAAAGACTTGTTAGACTTGACACCAAAAAGCATGATCCAGCTGAAACCGGTTTGGCTCAGTGGATAGAGCTCAGTGGACTGAAAGGTACCGGGTTTGATTCCAGTCAAGGGCATATACCTTGGTTGTGGGCACATCCTCAGTAGTGGGTGTGCAAGAGGCAGCTGATCGGTGAATCTCTGTCATCGATTTTTCTAACTCTCTATCCCTCTCTCTTCCTCTCTGTACAAAATCAATAAAACACATTTTTTAAAAAGCATGATCCATAAAAGTAAGAAACTGATCAACTGGATCTCATAAAACTTAAAAGCTTTTGCTCTGTGAAGAACCCTGATAAAAAGATTAAAAGACAAGCTAAAGACTCAGAGAAAACATTTGCAAACCACATATCTGACAAAGGACCAGTATCAAGAGATAGAAAAATCTCTTAAAACTCAACAGTAAAAAAAATCAAACAAGCCTATATAATAAAGATGTAATATGCAAATTGATCCTCACACCCTCACAAGATGGCCACCCCATGTCATCACAAAAATAGCCACCCCCACATTGTCAAAAGATGGCCGCCACTATATCATCACAAGATGGCCGCCCCATGTAATCACAATATGGCTGTCCCATGTTGTCACAAGATGGCTATGCCATGTCATCACAAGATGGCCATCACAAGATGGATGCCCCCAGGTCATAACAAGATGGCCACCCCAATGTCATCACAAGATGGCCAGCAGGGGAGGACATTTGGGGGCGATAAGGCCGGCAGGGGAGCAGTTAGGTGTCAATCAGGCTGGCAGGGGAGCAGTTACAGGGTGATCAGGCTGGCAGGCAGGCAGGCAAATGGTTAGGATCCAGCAGTCCTGAATTGTGAGAGGGATGTCCAACTGCTGGTTTAGGCCCTGTGGGATTAGGCCTAAACCAGCAGTTGGACAAGCCCTGAGGGGCCCCAGGCTGGGCTGAAGGACACTCCCCTCCTCCAGTGCACAAATTTCATCACTGGGCCTCTTGTTCATGGTCAAAAATCATGAACAGGCATTTTACCAAACAGGGCGTACAGATGGCAAAGAAACACATGAAAAGATGTGTCCCATCATTAGCCGTTAAGGAAGTGCAAAGAGAACCATAATGAGATACCACTATACCCCTATCAGTATGGCTAAAACTAACAAACAGTTATAGCACCAAATGCTCGTTAGCAACCATGTGGAGCAATCAGCCCGCTCGTAAGTTATGGGCGGGAGTGACGAAAGCATTCCTGGCACTTCAGGAGTACTGAAGACTTGTCTTCCCTTGCTCAGAGAAATGCATTTCTTAGTGTTATGGAGCAAGAAGAGAGGGGTCACAGGAGTTCCAGGAACAAGTGATGGCATCTGAAAACAGCCCAGTTTGGCAATGGATGTCGCAGAGCAGGCAGGAAAGTGGTTGGGCTCATTCCCGAGTCATCTGACGCATGACAACAAGGCTGTCTGGGGGCCAGATGCCCTCTGCTCCTCCCGCGGCTGCAGGTCATTGGGTGGAGGGTCAGGATCTCTGCAGAGATTCTCTGGGTGCACCAGGCTGAGTCAGCCTCGGTTTCAGTTCTCCTCAGATGGAGAGAACTGGCCGGGCCCTGCCTGCCTCAGGGTGACTGAGCACTCTCACCCTGCCCCTCCCACCCTGCTGGGCTCCAGCCTTCTGCTCCCAGCATGCCGTGCTCAGACCTTTTCCCTCAGCTCTGCACAGGTCTGACTCCTTGTCATCCAGGTCCCAGCTCAGTGGAGACCCCAGAAACCCCTGAGGTCTCCACCCACACCTCTCCAACCTCGAGTCACTTTGTACTTATGACTCGGTCTTATTCGTTTTCATAAAGGTCTGAGATTTCTCTCCATGTTACCTGGGGACTTTGTCTTGTCATTGCTGACCTCCCAGTGCCACAGACAATCCTGGCGCTTGGAAGGGGTCTAATATTTGTTCAACTGCTTGCCTGATTGAAGGAAAGGAGCTTACTCTCCAGTGCTACCTCATATGGCAGCCACCAGCCACGTGTGCCTATTTAAATGGAAATGAATTTAAATTAATTAATTCCAATGGGTTAATCTGCACAGAAAGAAACATCAATTGTGCTGCCTGCTGTTGCAGTGTGTATACGTTTTTTGGGACCCCTGTAGAAGACTGTGACAGGGAAATATTTTCAAAACATATTGCTAAATGAAAGAACCCATTAAAACGCATGAAGAAAGTTACAAACCACCAGGAGAATGGGGTGGGAATCTAGGGAGATTCCAGCTTTATCTGTATGTTACCTAATATTTTAAACTTTTCAAGAATACAATTAAGTATGCAATTACCAGTTACTGAGAATCAATCACTGTATGATTTCACTTTTTGTTAAGTGAAGTCCCTTAGAACTGTGAAGACCAGATCAAGCGTTCTATGTAGAAGAGTTTGACAGAGTAATTGCTAAACAAACACCAGCTGCCTTTTTGTTAGAAAAAAAAAAAGAGTAGAGAGAATATTTGCCAAAACCTGAAGAGTGGCTGCTTCTAGGTGGAAGAATTGAAGTGAATTCACTTTCTTCTCTTGGGGTATCAGCTTTTTCTTTTTCTTTTTTCTTTTTTAAAAAAAAATATATTTTATTGATTTTGTACAGAGAGGATGGGAGAGAGATAGAGAGCTAGAAATATTGATGAGAGAGAGAGTCATCGACCAGCTGCCTCTTGCACACCCCCTACTGGGATATGCCCGCAACCAAGGTACATGCCCTTGACCGGAATCGAACCTGGGACCTTTCAGTCCCCAAGCCGATGCTCCATCCATTGAGCCAAACCAGTCTCGGCGATATCAGCTTTTTCTAATGAACATAGGGGAGGGGGACAATAAGACATATTATTAAAAATTCTTTAAGCCCAGTGGTTGAGGTTAATCTATGAACCAGGAGGTCACAGTCCAATTCCCAGTCAGCACATGCTGGGCTGCAGGCTCATCCCCAGTGGGGGACGTGCAGGAGGCAGCTGATCCATGATTCTCTCTCATCATTGATACCTTTCTCTCTCAGCTGATCAGTGATTCTCATCATGGGTGTTTCTCTCTTTTCCTCTCTGAAATCAATAAAAAAAAATTTTATTTTTAAATTCTTTAAGGCTCAAGTGACAGTTCTCCATGAAGCCTTCCTTCCCTGATTCCTGGGCCATGCACTAGCCCCACTCCCAGCCCGGTAGATACTGGCTGGTACCGCTCACAGAGCACAGGACTTCTGAGTCCTCCTCTCGCCGCGGGAAGTTGGATGCATTTATTGATGGAGGGCACCCCATGGCCAGCTGCCTTCTGGGTGATGCCTAACATGTGTTACTGAAACAGGCTCCTGGACAGACTGGCATTCGTCCAGGAGCCTAAGGAGGTGGTGACCCATCCTTTTCTGCCGGAGCCAATACATGGGGACCCGTCTCCCGCAGTTTGTGGGGATCCGTGTGTCAGTGAGCACGGGGACGGGGGGATGTGAGAGCCGCAGTGGTGTTGGGGGGCTTCGGAAGAGATGACTCTCCACTAATGGCCTTGGGGTCCAGGGCTGGAGGACAAAACTTCTTTATCGGATCTCGGGCTCTGATGGCCCCATAGCCACCTCAATCCAGCCCCTGAAAGGGGGCTGGGGGGCTGGGTGTTCCCTAGAGGCTCCACTCACTCTCCTCCCTCAAGACGCGCGCAAGACCATGGTGTCAGGATCCCTCTCCACCTCCCGGCCCTCGCCTGCTCTTTGTCTTGGGGCGGGGGAGCGGCAGTTATGTGAAGGGGTACCCAGGGTGACCCTGCGTGACAAGAAGACACCCCCCACCCCCACCCCACCCACCCCGCACCCCCTAACCAGTGACTGAGTGTGAAGGTTTTGACATGTAACCTCCGGATTTGATTGTTATACTTGTTTGTTAATAAATAAGTCTTATATGTATCTCATATGACTCCTGTGCGAATTATATTAAGTAGCTAGCCATTTCTAAGTTCAAATGCAAAAATAAAAAAAATCTAACCCAGATCTGAATCCAGCTTCCCACGTGCTTCACTCTAAGAGTCACTGACTCTCCCGTGCCCCTGGCTTCCCATCTGTAACATGGGGAGAATGATGAAAACGGCATTTGGGAAGAAACGTCGAGATTCTCTCCATAAACGATGGACGCCAGGCCGGCCGGGGTTGTCTGTTCGGTTTATTATTGGGTCAGAAGCGCAGCAGGGCGGCGGGGTCGTTTATTCGGGTTATCATTTATTCGGGTTGTGTTTATTCGGGTTATTTCCTGGGTTACTGGCTCAGAAGCGCAGCAGCGCCAGCAGCGCGGCGGGGTCGCGGCGGCGGCCGAGGCGCTGGGCGCGGGGCGCGGGGCGCGGCGCGGCGGGGCCGGGGCGGAAGGCGCTGTGCGGGGTGGACGAGCGCAGCGCGGGCGCGGGCGGCCGGCGCGCGGAGAACGGCCCGAAGAACTCGGCCGCGAAGGTGACCACGTCGTCCGGCCGGCGCAGCAGCAGGAAGAGCAGGAAGTCCGCCACGATGGCCTGGCCGTCCGGGTGCTGCTGCAGGTACCGCGTGTGGCTGAGGCGCAGCTCCTCCTGCGGGCGGGCGGCTGAGCGGGGGACCCGCGCCCGGGAGCCCCCTTACCCCCCCGCACCCCAGAACTCCCCCCGCACCCCAGAACTCCCCCCCGCACCCCGGGAGCCCCCTTACCCCCCCGCACCCCAGAACTCCCCCCCCGCCCCCCGGGAGCCCCCCTTACCCCCGCCCCCCGGGAGCCCCCTTGCCCCCCGGGAGCCCCTTACCCCCCCGCACCCAGAACTCCCCCCCGCCCCCCGGGAGGGCCCCTTACCCCCCCGCCCCCCGGAGCCCCCTTACCCCCCGCACCCCAGAACTCCCCCCCCGCCCCCCGGGAGCCCCCTTACCCCCCGCCCCCCGGGAGCCCCCTTACCCCCCCGCACCCCAGAACTCCCCCCGCCCCCCGGGAGGCCCCCCCCCCCCCGCCCCCCGGGAGCCCCCTTCCCCCCCCGCACCCCAGAACTCCCCCCCGCCCCCCGGGAGCCCCCCTTACCCCCCGCCCCCCGGGAGCCCCCTTACCCCCCCGCACCCCAGAACTCCCCCCCGCCCCCCGCCCCCCGGGATCCCCCCCTTACCCTCCCGCACCCCGGGAGCCCCCACCCCCGCCCCCCAGAACCCCCCCTCACCCCGGGATCCCCCCCCTACCCCCCCGCACCCCGGGAGCCCCGCCCCCCACTTGGCTGGGGCCCTTAGGGGCGCTGGGCCTCCCAGCCCCTCGGGTGCCATTGCCGCCAGGCAGGAGGGGCGATCAGGAACAGGCATGTTGGGGCCCCCTCCTGGCCGGCTCCACCTGTTCCTGCCCCAATGCGCCCCATCCCCTCTCCAAGACCAAGTGCTGCTAGTGGGCAGATTCCAAAAGGATGGGCATCACCCAGTTAGGGGTGAGTGGCGGCGCGGAGGGGTGTGGGCACCCAGGCTGGCGGCGCCCCCTCACCTTCCGCTCCAGGAACTTCGAGTTCAGCTCGATGTCCTCCTCCCACGCCAGCGGCTTCTTCTCAAACACCGGGCGGGGCTCGATCACATCTGGGAGCCGAGGTAGGAGGGTTGTGTATCCTACCCCCCCCCCCAACCGCCCTCGGATGCGCAGGGACCCCCGGGAGCGCCCAGGCTGCAGGCCGGTGAGACCCCAGGGAAGCGGGTCCCCGAAAAATGACCCTCCCCTGCTGGCTTTGGGGTGCAGGCTGGAGGGCACAACTTCTTTATGGGATCTCCGGCTCTGATGGCCCGCAGCACCCTCCATCCAGCCCTGCACGGAGGGGGCGGCGGGTGTTCCCGCCCTCCCACCCACCAGGCTCCACTCACCCTCCTCCCGCAGGACGGGCATCTTGGTGATGACGCAGCAGCCGGGGGAGCCCACCTGGACCCGCTTGGCCAGGTGCCTGGAGCCACACGGGAGAGGAGAGCTGTTCCCAGGCCCGCGCGCTCCCGGAGAGGCAGCGGTCCGGGGCTTCCCTTGTCTTCCCTGTCCTCCCACGTGTCTTTGAGTCCCCAGGTCAAGTTCGTTTCTAATTCCCCAGGAGCGGTCCCTGCTTTTTAAACCTGGCACGGTTCCTACCCTGGAGGTACACGCTGGCGAGCCAGGACGGGACCAAAACCGTTAGGGTTGTAATCACTGAAAACACCATGAGGCTGAAGCCGGTGTGGCTCAGTGGATAGAGCGTCGGCCTGAGGACTGAAGGGTCCCGGGTTCGATTCCGGTCAGGGCATGCATGTACCTTGGTTGCGGGCACATCCCTAGTAGGGGGTGTGTAAGAGGCAGCTGATCGATGATTCTCTTTCATCGACATTTCTAACTCTATCCCTCTCTCTTCCTCTCTGTAAAAAAAAATCAATAAAATATATATAATATTTTTAAAAAATCTTGAGCCTCTGATACGTGACATACAGAACAGCAACAGCACACTAAGGGTGAGCTAAGGGAGTCCAGGAATGCTCTCTGATCACCCTGCTTTCCGTGCAGTGAGCGTATCAATACCGCTTCAGAAATGGCAAGAAACAAATTCTCCTTCCCCCCCTCCCCCTCGCGGTGTGGTGGCCTGTCTGCTGCGATGACAGCTCGGTGGCGTGCAGACGCTTCTCCCAGCATCTCTCTGAGTGCCCAGTTCTAACCTTGGCGTGTCTCAGGGTCAATCAAACCCAGCGCCCGTGGAGTGGCGTGAGCGTCCCCTGCCGGCTAGGGCTCTCGGGTGAGTCTGGGAGGCATCCTGAGGTTCAGGAGGGTGAGCCGTGGAAAGGGTGATGTGGCTGACGCGGGGCAGGCAGAGCTCCACGGCATCTCTCCCTGTGGTGCCCCCAGATCTTCCCTCTCCCGTGACCTCCCAGGCCGAGCACCCCGGGGTGCTCCCCGCCCCTGGGCCCGCCCTCGGGGAGCGTACCCGTCGGAGAGCAGGTAGAACTGGCAGGAGAAGGGGATGCCGTCCGAGTGCACGGTCTGCTCCACGATGAACGCCTCCGCCTGCTGCCGGTCCACCTGGATGGTCTGGGCGCCCAGGGCTTGCTGGGGCGGCCACAGAGGAGAGGCGGTGAGGGGAGGCCCCAGGTCTCCCTGCCCCTCTCTCCCCGGCCCTTCTCCCTCTCACAGCTCCGGTCCCCGTTCACCAGTGATGAGCAGCCATCGGCTGTCCAGGCGCCACAAGATTTGAGTTGCACCCCCACAGTTAAGCTGGGGGTCCCCTCCTAGCCAGCTGCAGCCTGTTCCTGCCTCCCCACCCCCATCCCCTCTCCATGACCAAGTGCTTCTAGTTGGCAGATTCTGTGACAAGGATGAGCATCAATCAGTTAGGTGTGAGTGTGTATGTGTGTGTGTGGGGTGGGGGGGGTGGAGGCGGGCATGAAGCTCTGAGGGGGGGACCAGACTAGGCTTGTGGCCCCTCGTGCTGCTGGAACTAAAGCATAAACCCCCGTTAGGGCTGCAGCCACGGAAGAAAAGTGCTAATGCGAAACGTGTCTCCAAGAAAACGTGGGTCAGTGGCATGCGCCTGTTTGTGTCAAACACGTTGCTGGGGCTCCCTGTGACCTGTGATAGAAAAGACTAGAATGCCGTTCACAGAGTTGGTGAGATCAGCCTCGAAGTGTGTGTCCAGAGGCACGGCTTTAAGATCACACATTGCAGGGAGTGCTGGGTATGTTGATTACGAAATTGTAGCCCAGCCAAAACCGGTGTGGCTCAGTGGATAGAGCGTCAGCCTGCAGACTGAAAGGTCCCAGGTTCGATTCCAGTCAAGGGCATGTACCTTGGTTGTGGGCACATCCCCAGTGGGGGGTGTACAAGAGGCAGCTGATCGATGATTCTCTCTCATTGATGTTTCTAACTCTCTATCCCTCTCTCTTCCTCTCTGTAAAAAAAAATCAATCAATCAATCAATCAATAAAATATATGTAAAAAAGAAAAGAAAAGAAATTATAGCCCAAACAAAAAAACAAAGAAAGACCTTTGGGGTTAAGACATAATAAAGAATATTTAACTGTACTTGGAGACACTGCATTTCCTGTTGTTAAAAAAAAAAATGTTCCTTTTTCCTGGACTGAGCGTTGTTTCCCTCAACTGCTCCCCTTCTAGTCCCTCTCCTCACGCCGCCTGCCCCACGCGCGGTCATCTGTCTCGCAAATGAGGCCTCACCTTCTCCTGCCCATGGACGCCCCTGCCCCTTTCCCTGTTTTCATCCCCATTCCACCCCTTCCACTCCGCAGTCTTCTCCTCCCCCGCCTCAGCGTTCTCCTGCCCCTTCCGGTTTTCCCCAGGCCAAGTGTCCCCCCCCCCCCCCGGAGGTCCCTCACGTAAGTGGA